CTAAAATTCGATGTTCGATTCCCCGATTGAGTGTTCTACTGAATTGCCGGGAAGTCTGGCAACCTAGCCAGTGACACTACTAACAGTTCTGTTATGTATATGCACACACACACACACACACACACACACACACACGTACGTTAGAGGGGGGGAAGAGAGTGTGTGTATACAAGATTTGTTGGTAGACTGTTGTTTTACCATACACCACTGTTTAGTTTCTACTTAATTCTTTTTGTAAGACCTACTGTAATTTCCAGGGCCGCCGAGAGTTACTCTGGGGCTAATCATGTACATATGGGGAGGGGGGCATAATATCGGTTGTTTTAACATAATTCTCTATGTTACCTTATTTCTTTCTTTGCTCTTGTATGGGGGGGGGGGGCTTATGACTCTGGGGCCAGGGGGTAATCCCCCTTCGTTACCCCCCTATCGACGGTCCTGGTAATTTCTTGATCTCTGTAACAAAGCATTGTAAAGGGTTTTATGCCCTGTTTGTGATAAAGATTACAAAATGTCTGCATTGTTACAGGAGACGCGTTGACCTGTGACCTGGCTGAGATTCCAGCAAGTATTGAGCAAGGACAGTCATGGTTATTATCCAAACTTGATGCTCGTGGAGGGTTGGGAGAACAGACACACCGGGCAGTTACGACCTTGTATCTGAGTGACCATGCCCCCTTCACAAAAGGAGACCTAGTATATGAAATCATGGTCAAAGAAATGGAATTACAACTAGCCGTCGCCCTCTGGAGGTTTGTACAGCAAATAGAACATTGTCAAAAAAAAACATTAATCTAAATAATAGTTTCGTGGTAGGTACTTCATAATTCATTGCGGTTCAAGATTATACTCGTGATAAGCTTCTTTCTAATTGAATTGTATGAATTTCACATCATTGATAACTTTAAACAACTAGGATATTAATTTTTGTTATATTTTACACGTGTGTATGCTGAAACTCAACAGACAAAATGTGTCAAGTTTGTGTGGTCTTGTGTAATGATAATCTGTGAAGTAGATTGGGTGTATTTATAAACTTGGATATTAACGCTTAAATACACCATTTCGATACCTCATTACTATAAAGGCTTAGTTTGGTCTGATATGTCGATGGTGGTAGTGTCCAGGGGTCACCGAGGAGTGGAATTCACATAAACTAGAATGAAACGTAGACCATTCCAAGCTTTTGCTTGTTGTTAACAAATGTTTAAACAACTCTAACTTGTCTTTTGTTTAACAGCTATTTTGATTAATTTTATGAATAACGTTATTTTTAATCTCATTCAATTATTAATGGCTTTAGGGACCATCATCAAACCCACCACCGGGGGTGGGGGTGGGGGTGAATGGTACGAATCTTTTACTTTTATGCATACCTTCTTTATGAGAGACTAGATTTTTTTTTTTCTTTGTATTTATTAGATCATTAAATCCCGATGAAAAAGTGTTGTCAGCAGGAAAACTAGCCCTCTACGTCAACGGTCTTTTAGCCGCCTGTCGGAATCCTAGGAACTATTTCACCGTAGACCTGACGGAAACTCTTATGGAGTACAACTTCACGGCCTCAGAATTTTCATATGCGCTAGTGTCTTTGGCTCTCTGCAATTCCGGGCGAAATCTATCTGGAGAAAGAATTGCCCATCTTCTGGGTGAAATTCAACCCAAGCCCGGTGCCCACTTCTGGACAGGTATTTTATCCGTTAAAATGAGTATTTTATTTGATAAGTTTGGGGGTGGAAGAGAAGTTAAGCCTTATATTTAGTGAAACGACTTAGTTAACGATGAGTATTGTATTCGATAGACTTAAGTTTAAATACAAAACTGTATAGACCAACCTTAAGCTTCTTAAACGTGGAATTTACGTCGATATTACCTGTCTCGTATTTTTCTGTAAAATCATATTACAGTTAGCAACCAAATTAATTATTTTTCTTGTAAACAACTCTACAGATACTCAAGCCTTAATAGTGATGGCTTTGTCCTGTGTCGCAAGAAAAGAAGGTTACAGTTATCTTGAAAGTAATATATCTACGGTCTTGGAGCACTTCAAAGAAATCCAGAAACCAGATGGAAGTTTTGGAAACGTGTACACCTCTGGACTTGTAGTACAGGTAAATAACAGCCGTGTGGGAAGCTAGTTCCAACAACAGTGTTCTATTTACTCGTATTTAAGATAAGTTAAGAACAGTCATTCTTAATATTGGATAAATGCAACACTAGAGCAGAAAAGAGGAGCCAATGTGTTGTCATAGTATTGGTAACACTCCTTCGGAAAGAAAAGTTTAAGATAACTAAACTAAACGCTCTTAAAAACTGGGAGCGGTACTACTAACACTCGTCTTAACACATTCTTGTTTCACATTTCATTGCTGCCCCCCCCCCCCCCGGATTCTTACAACGCTAGAATCCGGGTTTCGGTACCCGTGGTAGGCAGAGCACAGATAGCCCATTGTGTATCTTTGTGCTTAACTTCAAACCCCCCCCCCCAAACAAACAATGAAATTTTTTACGAAATAAATTTGACATTTATAAATATAAATTCATTCTTAAACACGCGATTGAAAATGACCATTTATTAACAATAAGAAGAAAAGACTTCCCGCTGGAAAGGTAATCATTAAATAATCTTGAGGATTAATGGGATGAATTAGATTTGAGAAGATCGGTTTTAAATATAGTCGCCCTGTTTTTTATACATTTTCCAGAAAGTTCCTGCAGTCCATCGATTTTATTTTTAAGTTCATTTTTTATGATGTTACTTACTGACCTCTAATGCAAACAATAACTGTTTCTGTCCGGCAAACCATTCTTGTTTAAAGTAGTCTCTGCTTATATCACTAGTGAATATGTTTATTAGACTTCTTTGGTTAATTGCGTTTTATTACCACTATTTTTTTTATCATTGAAATGGTAGCCTAACCACAACACTTACACTGACAACTTATACTTTAGCGATTTGTAGAATCCATTTGACCTGATCTGAAAAAAATAATTTTTACAGTAAAGATTAAAATCTTGTTAAATTCAGGGTGGAAATGGAACTACATGTTCTGGTGACTGAAATAAATCCGATATGTCCATCACTAACAGTAAAGATCCAGTAAGTCCATTAAATTAGTTCTGATCTGTTGTAATGTTTGTTTCTATCGTATTGAGTATGTTACTTTAATGTCCAGTTAGTGCTGCCGTTCATGGACATCTATTGTTAATGCTACTATGCTTTGTTTATTTAACTCTTACTTTATACTATTAATTTCTTTTTATTTTCGTTACTTGTCTGTAAGGTGCTGCTATCTGTCGTCACGTTTTAAGATGTAACACGTTTGTAGTATTTATTCACCCAATGCCATGTCCGTACACTTCAGTGCCTGGTATTTATGTCTAGACCAATGGTTCTCTACCCTTTGCGCTATATGGATGTTTTTGATATGGACGAAGTCCTCTTGCACCTTGACCCAATCCGATAGCAGTCTCTTGCACGTGACACTCACCACAAGTCTAGTTAAGATAGACTAGATTTTATTTTAATTTACACGTAAAACTTGTCTTATTTTCAAGAATCATTTTGAAATCTCTTTGCGAAGTTATTGGTCTGCGGATCCTTGGTTGAAACAACACCTACTTTGCTCGAGCAGCAGTTGGCAATGTCCACAAACGATAGCCTTTATTGTGTTGTATGCATCTGTTGTTGGTTTCCCATAGTGACTTCTTTTAGCATGCAGTAATTCCATTTTGTTTCTTAACCATTACCTCATGATAGGTGGCCAGAGAAATAGGCTCGTGAAAAATGACCGAATTCTGTGCCTGATGGGGATCTGTCGGTGCATCATCTCTATCTTTGGATTTAAGAGCAAGATATTTTCCCATTTTCTTTCCTCGGTAAATTTCCTGGGAATTATGCTATCGTTCGGTGTGTGCCCATAAGCCTTTAACTCTGAATGGTTTTCTTTTTGGAATGAACGTTAAACTACCTGCTTTCTGTTTCTTGAGTCTCGAACAGAAGTGACTTAAAAATAGGAAAGTTACTGAATTTAGCTATTCCACTTTTCGGATACTAGGACTTTTGTAGGAATTGTTTAAGATCATCTTAAGCGATCTACTTTTTGCTTAAATTTGAATCCACAGCTGATCCATCTTCCATATTGTGTCCCATTGAGAAGCTAAGATTGATCTCTAGTAGGCATGGTATTAGGTGAGTTAACTCTGGTTTTATAGTCAGACTTGCTACTAAGAAATGTAGCAGGTAGTTCAAAGGTTTATCTTTTCAGTTGTATGCTACAATACTCTATAACCAGTCCTTTCTCAGCCTAGTTGAGTCGTGGTGTTCATTGGCATGTGTCACTGGCGAATAAATTCTTTAAATCTCTACTAAGTAACCACAGAGCCACTATTATATACAGGGCACTAGTTAAAATAACACAGACCTGCGAATTTAAACTTCATAAAAGTTGTTTTGGTTTTATAACAGATTTTCCATAATTCGGCTACGTAGATTTAGAAAAAAAGAATATTTTCTATCGGGTAAGGATTTTTTTTTACAAATAAAGAAGAGAAAAAAAACTCTTACTTAGATCAAATAATTAACTTCGTCTACCACACTGAAATTTTTTTTGTTTTGTTTTTGTTTGTTTGTTAACAAAAATACAAACAAACTGAATAAAATGGAAGAACATTAATGTCAAACGAATATGCGTCCTGATTCGTGTTGTGGTCTTTCTTTTATGTATTGCGTCTGGAGCATCTAGTTTCAACGACCAGTAGTAATCGGCCATCATACCTCCTCTGTTTCCATGATGTATTCCCTTTGTTCATCGTTGACGACACTGATATTTTCTGTAAAATAGTCCATATGTGAGTGTAAGAATTGGACTTTCAAACTCGTATTACAACCCAACTCTTTGAATTTATCGAGCATGTTATTGACAATATTTTTGTAATTTGGGTCCTTGTCGTTTCCTAAAATTTTGTCAATAACATCTTTAAAAGCAATCCACGCTTCTTTTTAAACTTTCCTCACTGTACTTGCGAACTGTTCACCCGAAGTCAATTTCCTAATCTGAGGCCCATAAAAAAAAAAATCCCTTTAAGTTTCACTTCTGAACGAACTGGGAATTGCCCACATAGATACTTGAAACAGTCACCATCTTTGTCTAAAGCCTTTACAAACTGCTTCATCAAGCCCAGTTTTATGTGAAGTGGAGGTAACGGGACATTCTTTGTTTCAATGCTTTTTTTGACGAATTCTGTAATTTTCTTTATAAACAATTTATTACAAATATAACAGAATATTTTTGGGTCATTTACACAACCTCTTGTTGCCATAACGACTAATAAATAATATTAAAGAGAAAAATAATAACGTCATAGTGCACACGCAAACAAGTGCTATCCAGAAATGACGCGTCATGCGGCCTGTTAACCGTTTGCATACTAGTGGTGTTTCTCGTGTTTCTTCGATAAGACTCTCGTAGCGATTGATCTAGAGAAATCTATAGCTAGACGTTGTCAACATTTTAAGCATAACAAAATGTGACTCCGATTTCAATGAAAATGATTCACTTGTGTAAAAGTAGATATGAGTTATGGTAAAATGTGTACGTGATGGAGAAAAATAAATATCAATAAAACAATAAATAACAATAAAACCATCACAGGCCTGTGTAATAGGTGATATTACTCGGCTGTTGTCATGGTCTCATAAAATACGTCCGACTCTCTCTCTCTTACATATATATATTAATGTGACGATCCCTTCTATAATAAATAAGATAAAAGGCAGTTTCCAAGTTTAACAACGAGCGGTGAAGTGTATGTAAAGTCCATAATCACATTAACCGCGTTGATAATATTAATCCTTCACAAAACAAACGTCATGGTGATTATGACTTTTACCAAAGAGAAACAAGTGCCTGTAGATATACTACAGGGTTTTGACAAGATTGCTGTTTACTATTTTTAACGCTTGTATAATCACTTCATGAGTTTTAGAAGTTTATCTTCAGTGCATGATGACAACGTTTGTAGAGATAAAACTTGAAACTAATTTAAAAAACAAAACGTATCTACTTAACTATAATTGTTGCAAAACTGTCTGAGGCTAAAAATCAGATTTCGATACCCGTTGTAGGCACAGCAGATAGCCCATTGTGCTTAAACAAACACAAAAACGGCGAGTGCCTTAAGTAAAACTTGGTTTAAAAAAACTTTACGTAATCTTACCCTTTAGTAGAAGTTAATTTTAATAAAGTTAGGTTACAGATTAAAAACTTGCCTGTTTACATATTTTCTAGCTTGGAGTTGCGTATTGTTGGTAATCATGAGGTTAGAAATAGCTGATTCGTTAAAGATTCTTTCGACTGGAATCAAAGTTTAATGATAAAGTATAAACATGGCAGCGACAATGAACACTGCAGACGTGTATGTTGAGTAACAAACACTTAATTCTTGAAAGTTTCGGAATATATACATGTTCCATCTTCAGCAAGCTATACAGAACATGGTAAATTATTAGGTACAATGCACCCAGCGGTATGTCTGTGGACTTCCAACGCTGGAAAGCGGGTTTCGATACCCGTGGTGGGCAGAGCACAGATAGCCCTTCGTGTAGCGTTGTGCTTAACTACAAACAATAAATAATGGGACAATGCGACAATTGTAACGATATTATATAAGTATACAATACAGAACAGGCTTAATTCTAGTGAAGTTGTGTTGTTATTTGAAATTGGGAGTTCATTTATATTAGATAAACTTTCTTTAATTAAAAGTTCAATATGTGATGATACAAATGAGATGACATTGAAATTTTTAAGCAAGATGGGGTGGCTGCTATGTTTACTGTGTGCGAACTGTGAAGTCTGGAGAATGTGATAGTTTTTTTTTGTGACTTCGCTATGAAACTTTCATTATCTTAACAAAAAAAAACAAACGAAAGATCAGTCTTAATGGATATTTGTCAACGGTGTATGTTTTCTTTGGGGATGGACGTAAATTTGAGAAAGGAACTTGCGTGTTAGGGCTTGAATGAAATGCAAGAGATAGACGTTTTTTATTAGAATATTCTGTAAGGTGGTGATTTCGGTATGAAGATAAATAGTTAGAACAGATGTTATGCTCTATTGAGAAGGCTCTAAGGAATTCGGAATAAAAACTCGACGAGGTAACTCGAACAGTAAACTAAAACTGTTAAACTAACATGGATGGCGCGAGCTAGGAATTTCGTGCGACACCAATCACTGCCACAACACACATTGCACCATTTTATGTGCTACTACATACAACTTGGAGCCATGGTGCGTTATAAGGGTAACAATCGGATCCCACTATTTGATTAGAGAGTACCAACAATATTGTAGTTTTTATATAATTAATAATGAATATACACTGAATTGGTTTTGTGTGGTAATGTTTGGGTACGTATTTACATAAATCAGTAGCATAATACTCGTTACAATTTTTACTAACTCTAGTACGTGTGCGAAGTAATACTAACATAATTTTGCTTAAATAAAGTTTCATTCCTTCTTTATTTGAATTATTTTTTTCTTTGCGCAGGCTCTTTTGGCAGCAAAAGACGACGGAAGGGGCTGGGACTTCAATCAAGCTTTGAGCTATCTGTTATCTCAACAACAACCGGATGGGTCATTCGGAGACTTGTTGGCCACATATTTTGTACTTCCGGCACTGGCCTGTCGGAGCTTGGTGGACTTGGGAGACGTCAATTGTACAGAATCAACGACATTAGGTAACTGGAGTATGAAATATTTACTCGCGTGACACGTAAACGTAGCCCTCGTATTCGTTTCCTCGCTGTTCCAAATCGTGTGGTTCTTGCTATCGTATTTTATCCGATCACCCACTCTGGTTGTTTGAATCGTTTACTAACTTTACTCTCTTTCATTCTGAGAACTGCTTATTTAGCACATCTGGACCTACAGATGGAACTAAAAATTGGACAAGTTATAGGTCGCTGTCTCAGAGCGCGTGATTAATTCGGGTTACTGGTCTCGTGAATGGATATAAATGACTCTCTCTCTGATTTCGTGGCCACATCAAACAGAGCATTTCTTAAAGCTGGTTTAGTGTATAGCGTGTATTTGTTTTAAAATAAATATCACCAAATGCGATCCTATACTTTCCTACTCAAGTGTATATATTTTCATCCAGAAGGTATTTTATGATGCAAGTGGTCTAAACAGCCAGATTCGAGGGTTTAATCATAGCCGTCCCTATAACTTAGAGCTATTGACTAGCGTAATGTCAACCAGACTGACGTATCTGTCGCTACTCTTAAACAGATAACACTATTTATTGTCAGTTAAGATATTCAGATAAATTGTGGTTTGTTTTGGTTGTTTCTAAACACAAAGCTACACAATGAGCTATCTGTACTCTGCCCATCTCGGGCATCGAAACCCGACTTTTAGCGTTATATGCCCTCAGAATAAAGTGTTGAACAACATACCACAATTCGAACCATCCTAGCCATTAGGCCACGCCCGGCTCCATAATTAATGATTGATTACATCTAATCCAAGTATATCCATCTCCTGGACTAGCCTCAGGATTACCACGTGATATCGGTTGTAATGATTTTGTACCTGTTTTCATCAGTTGTGACATAACAATATGGCGACTTTCTTGATAATTGGTTTATAGCAACTTTCATTTATCTTACTTTATAAACAGTGCGTGCGGTCTTTGTATGTAGTTTACATTGTGACATTTACCTAACTTTAAATGTATATTAAATACTTTCTTAAAAACAACGTTAGGAATCTGGATAACAGTAGATGTTAATATTTATATACCTAAACGAATGAATATTCCGTAATTAAAGAATGTTACTTTAACAGCTTTGGTTTCTTCATTTTATACATTATTTCTCGGTGTTAGCTTAGTATACGGATTTAGGACTGGTTCAAATCTAGTAATGTCTTCAAAACTCGTGAGCTTGGGGACGAAAGTGTCGCTAAAATTTTTCCCAGGATATTCTGATTTTAACTTGTAACCATCTGGATAATTTAACATGCAAGTTAATGGGATTTTAACAACGTATATACGGAGTCTTGATGAGGTAGAAATTTCTAGAAGTTAAGCCGAATAATGTCTACACGATGGGTTCTGATCTACTCGCTACGAGCATCGAAACCCGATTTTTAGCGTCATAAACCTGCAAATTTGCCACTGAGACCCTTTTTAGAGCAAAGTCGCATCGGGTAATTTGCTATGTTCACCACGGGAAATCGAACCCCGGATTATAACGTAAGTCCGTAAACTTAATGCTGTCCTAGCAGGAGACGTGTTTTAAATAATTCGGTGATTACTACATGTTCCATACTTTAACAGATGACACTACAATACAGGAAGAACAGAAGCCTGACAACCTGGAGGGAGTTGAGTTCATCAAGGTTCATTACTCCCTGTGGATTGGAGATGAAGAGAAATACAGCTTGACTTTGGACAAGGTTCTACCCAATACTACGTTCTTCAACATTATGAAAGACGCTGCCAAGTTAAACCCTAAATACAAGTAAGTTACGCTCTCGGATAAATTACACTTAGTCTAAAACGTATTTAAAATATTTTCTGGATATTAAATGGAAATAAAATTTAACGTGTCTGTAAGAGAACTCTACTGTGCTGGATATTTCTTAGTTTCTAGAAGACTATATAAGGTTGACACGTAATAGTGGTAAAAAAAACTCAAAGTCCCATAAAGAACAACGGTAAAAGGTGGATATCCGTCCACGCCCTGCGACGTAGTTACATGGACATACAACAGACAGTTCTATGATATTTACATAGATTGTTTAATAACAGTACTACATAAACGTTATTTGACATAACTTGTGTTGCATGTTTTAATCAAATGTGTTTGCTGTTTTCAGGTTTGAATGGGAGGAAACGGCCTGGGGACCATTTGTACAAAAGATAGCTGGTGTTGCTAATGATCCCATTAATAAGACCTACTGGATGGTTTACATTATGAATCCAGACACAAACAAACCCGTACTTTCAAGCGTAGGTAAGAAATATTAAACAACTTGTTTTGAATTTCTGCTAGAATTCTCTTTCCAAGTAGGAATTAAATTGTTTTATTGTTTTTGTTCACCTTGTCGAATCGCAGATATTGTCGCTTTTATATCTCGTGTCATTGTTTACACATTACTCGTGTGCCTTGGCTTGTCTCCGTTCCTTTGTTTTTGTTCACCTTTGTCGAATCGCAGATATTGTCGCTTTTATATCTCGTGTCATTGTTTACACATTACTCGTGTGCCTTGGCTTGTCTCCGTTCCTTTGTTTTTGTTCACCTTTGTCGAATCGCAGATATTGTCGCTTTTATATCTCGTGTCATTGTTTACACATTACTCGTGTGCCTTGGCTTGTCTCCAGTTCCTCTCGCTACAGGAAATAAGAGTAAGACAACAGTGAGAAAACAGTTTGGTAGTTTCTCCCGTGGTGCCCTTTTTTGTCGTCGTGTTCAAACATTTTCACGTAAGAATGACTACACTACCATTACGATTGGACACAATAGATAGCCCAGTGTGACTATGCGCTAAACCAAACTTTACACTACAGTAGTTTGGGAGAACTTGCGAATGTAACTGTGACAGTTTAGTGTGCCATTATGGACAATTTTAAGAAACCTGAGTTAAAGCAAGACTGATAGTTAATATGTTAACTACATCTACCATACTCGATACCAAGACTCATCAGGCCGGCTATAGATATAGTAGTGGTCTAGATTTTAAAGTATCTTTATCTGAATCCACTTTACCATCCTCCAGAAGAACTAGCGAACGTCACAAGACACGTATTTTGTTGGCTTCACGGGGATGACGGAACGTTGCGCATGCGTTTCATTCACCCTGCAGGTGTATTCAAGGTACAGGTTATTGGCAAACGCGGGACACGAAACTCCAATCTGGTATAGCTTTGGATGTAGGTGGTAAACATTCAGATGACTGCCAAACTCGATTCGTTAGTCCGATTTCTTGTTCCTTTAAATTCGATATTTAACAGCTCCACCTGAAATATTTCGCTCGCACTCCGTCGGAACTGTTTTAGCTTATTTCTCACACAACCTTCTGATGCCAAGACACCATATACAGACGGGCAACTCATATTTATAATTTATCAGTGTGCGTTCATACACACATGCATACCTTCAGTTATTCAATCTAATTTATATTATCTTTTTGATATAGGTGTTGGAAAACTTCTACCCAAAGATGAAAACCACGTCATATTTTGGTACCAGGCTGTAGTAGTATAAACTATTAATGGTGAAGACTACTTTTAGCAGGCTTGGAGATATTGGGCAATTCAATAAAATTTGTTTTTAATTTGATATTTTATAATATATTTCACAGTCCACTGGACTTTACAAGCATCAAAATGCAATAAAATGTTTTATTAATCAAATTGATATCGTACAATAAATGTTATTGTACACCGTACTTGTATCAGTTTTAACTTTATTCACTAAATATTAAGAAAACACAATAGAAATTATTTGAATTTCGCACAAGGCAACTCTAGGACTATCTGTAATAAAATCCGGTATTACTTCAGCATAATTTTTCTAGGATTATTATTACTTTGCTAAAACTTTACTTTGAACTAAGTTACTTTTGACAATAAATCGGGCAATCTATTGTTCTTTTGGAGTTTAATACAATATGCAAGCTGTTCCCGATGTAGTATTTTGACTTCACAAATACAACCATATGTTTGGAAACAGTCTTCAATTAAGAACTTTTTCTTTAAGTATTTTGTATATTCTACATTGAAAGTTAACAATACTCTCTTTCTCTAAATTCAATCTGTTTTCTCACTCCTACAGTCTTGTGTTAAAGCAGTAATTGATTATATAATAAATTCTACCAGAAGAGTAGAACTTTAGCAGCAGTACAAATTACAATCACTAATTACAAAAGTCTTATTCCTTTTGTCAGTCTTTCGAGAACGCTTTCACGTTCTTTTTTGGTAACACTCAATATATTAGGTCGTCAAGAAATTAATGTTTCGTTTTGGAACACTTTCATTAACCACCCCCGAAAAAAAACGTACATTACGTATAATAGTTTAACGAACTGCCTAAATATCATGCAAGTGTAGCCTATATAATGTGTAAAGTTTTTAGTATACTCTCATCCCTTATAGTGATGGCACACGACGAGATACAGTCGACATGTAATGCTTCTCAGAATACAAGAAGGGAAACAACTCCTCTGTAGCCACAAAGAATAACAAAAGTTTATGGAAATGTTTTGAACCTTCGTAAGTGTCAATGGTGGTTCAGCAAATTTCGTTCAGGTGACTTTAACCTTAAAAACTGTGAAGGCAGGGGCCGACATGTTGGAATTGATATTGATGGTCTGAAGACTGGTTGAATCTAACTCAAGGCAACACACTCGTGAAATGGCC